AGACAAAAAGTCCCTCAGAAATCCTCTGTTCCCCACACCGAGGTTGGATCAGGAGACCAAGGCCCATAGTCACAGAGACTGGCCTGAAAGGCTCGACTGGAGGACTGCCTCGGATTGTGCGGCCCCATGAGGATGGCGTGGTCAAGGCCAACAGTTAGCATTCCGTTTTCAGAACCTCAGCACTTCCATACATTCTTAAAAAATAAACACAGAATCATTAAACATTTTTCTGACTTGGTTTCTCTGTTAATATTACCTATCAACTCTGCATTGCATGGTAGTGTCATGAGCTTATGGAAAATACGTGCCACTGGTTTGGGGTCAAATCAAGGTGACCCAATTCTAAGACTCACCAGGCCAGTAACTGCCTTTGTGTAGTTATATGGACAAGAATTCTCTTGTTCACAGAAGCATTGATTATATTTCAAACGAATCCAAGCACAAACTTTCAGAGAAGTGGGATAGCATCAGATATCAATAAAATAAAATAATTTCCTATACAATTAGTACTTTCCAGTCTCATACCTGGAGGCCAGTCTGCATTGAAGGGCACTAAGATACATTCCCATTCCTTTCCCCACAGAACTTCCATTCTAAGGATCGTAGCTTCTAGCATTGCCTGATATATAACAATGAACACGTACTGAGAGTTTACCATGCACCAAGCACTAGGCTAAGATTTATTGATTATTTAATATAATCCTCAAATGACTTTTATGAGATAGTTATTACATTTCCCCCACTTACAGAGGAGGAAATGGAGGCTTAAGGGAGATAATTTGCATGACTGTTAATAGGTATTGGAGGCAGGATTCGACCAATTCCAAAGTCTACCTCTTGATGGCTATGCAATTGCCAGAAGCAATGGAACTAGGGGGTGGTGCTGATGGTGGGAAACCCTTTAGTTGCCTGCTGTGTACAGGAAATGTGCTAATCGCTTTCTGTGCATTAGACTTGGGGTGGACGAACTAGCCAGGGGGCCAGATTTGGCCTGCTGCCTGGGTGAATATAACCATGCCAATTTGTTTACATATTGCCTACAGCTGCTTTTGCAGTGACAGAGACTATATGACCCACAAAGCAGAAAATATTTACTATATGACTTTTCACAGAAAAAGTTCTCCAACTCTTATGTTATATAATTGAATCCTTCTACTAATAGCTCTAGGAGAGCTGCTTTTGCAGTGACAGAGACTATATGACCCACAAAGCAGAAAATATTTACTATATGACTTTTTACAGAAAAAGTTCTCCAACTCTTATGTTATATAATTGAATCCTTCTACTAATAGCTCTAGGAAGGAGGGATTACCCCAGTTTTAGAAAAGACGAAACAAGTTCAGAAAAGTTAAGCTGCTTGTTGGAGAGCAGTGGTTCCTGACTTTTGAAATTTAGAATCTGTATTTTGCCATAGAATTGCCTCTTTTTTCGAAGTTAGGGACATTAGGGGCAAATGCTTTACATTTTTTCTATCATTTCATAAAAGAAAAGACATTTTAATACCCAAGATGAGGGGATATAATTACCAAAAGTCCTTTAGATGAAATAGATCTAATTTTATGAAAAACTTTGAATACTATTCCTATTTTTCTTTTTAAAAAAATTCTTCAGGGATAAGAACTTAATGTGGATCAGCGTGAGTTCAAGATTGGTAGTGGAGGGCCACTTGCTGAGGAACTCTAGCCAGTAAGTGGCAATGCCACAGGGCACCTGGGGCTTATCTGACCCCAAAACCCATGTTGGCTCTGTCTGTCTGTCTGTCTGTCTATTATTCCCACATGCATTCTGTCATTCAACAACTACTTACTGAGCACCTACAGTGTGCCAGGTACCATGCTCATGGCAAGAACACAATGCATATTTCCTTTCATTTCTCTCACCATCTCTCTCTCCTTTGGCTGCTGTGATTGAAACCAAAAACTCAGCTCTTATTAACTATTTTCTTGTTATGATAGCTTGACCTGTTGGCCATTGGGGAAATGATCCCAATGAAAATATCACAACACAATGGTATTATAGAGTCTCTTTTTTTAGTGTACATAATGACTGACTCTAGAGGCTCTTAGGATGGGAAGAAATTAAATAATTTTATCAAGTCACAGAGAATAGCTTGCACACCCTCGTATGTCTTTCCAATTTCAAGGTTCTCTGGTAAAGGATCAGGACACAGCCTGTGAGTATAAGCTCCACCTTTCATCAATAAACACTGTCATCTTTTTAATATTGGGTTACGAGAAACTGTTCTTCCATTATAATGAACTACCACCAATAAAGCAGTCAAGCTATTTAAAAATTATAAGCAAAAGTTAATTATATAAAGTGACTATCAAGGCACTTTAAATTAACATTCATATTCTTGAACAAATGAGAACATTCCAATTATTGCATTATATATTACTATATAATGGCCTACATTTAAATATTTCTGATTCTGAATTATTCCTCTTTTTTATTATTACATTGATAAGATGAGTAATACAAGGGACATTCCAATTACTCCACTGATCATAGACAGAATATTTTAAAATAATTAAATGAAACTTACTGTGTATTCTGATTCCAGATGTTCATGTGGAGAAGAGGGGAAAGAAAAAAGAGAGACAAAATGATGATTTAGACCATTCTTATGTGCAATATAAAACCACACAACAAATACTGGTAAATTTTAATTATTAAACACGTGGTAAAGAAACCTTCCAAAAATTAAACTTTCATAAATACTGAATGTCTCCCTCTTGGCTCTGAAACACTTTCGTATGATGCTTTTGTGGCTGGGCAGATAAGGACAGTAAGACAAAATTTAATTAGCCTATAGGTTTCCGTCTAATTAAAAACCAAAGAGTTGGCATTATCATAGCAGAATTAAAGACTAGTAATTCCAGTAGAGCATTTCATTAAGCACAAAGGAATTCTTTTAAGTGGAAAAGCAGCTTTTAAAACCAATAAGTAGAGCCTGTTATGATGATGTTGAAATGGGATCTCGAGTTTTAGTGTGTTTGAGGGCAGAAACCAAACCCTCTAAATTTTTTTGGCCAGTTTCTACCGAAATAGTCAGTACAGAGAGTTTATTATCATTGCATTACAAGTGAGAGGAAAAGTGATCTTAAAGTTTTTCATATTATCCAATATTAAAGGAAGTAATTTGGGGCAGAGAGACCCAATATAATCTTTCACACAAAGTAGAGTCAAATATTGGGGGGGCGGGGACAGTAAAACAAACAAGTCAAAATAAACAACTTGTTTATAGACAACTCATACCCCCACATTACTTGGGGATTATTGAGGAAACAGGGAAAAATAAAGCTAATAAAACCCCTAGAAATGTCACTAAAAAGATCTTCACCTTTCTTCTCCATAAGTTATTCATTACGATCTCTCTAAGAAGGAAGGTGGAATGCATTAGATTCACCCTCCCACCCCCGCCATCCCTGGGTGTCAGTGTTAGGAGGAGTGTTTGATGACATAGAAGCAAGAAAGCAACGGGTGAGGGAGATATTACAGGGTGCCCATAACACCCTGCCTGGAGAATCAAGCCTCCGTCGGTGAAATCTGACTTCCACTATGGCCCTTGCAATCACTACACGTGGCAGATGGGTTGAAGCAAGGACTTACCTGTAATCGTGTAGGGATAATAGTTCCAAGCCTTCTCTGTCACATAAAATATTTTGGGGACAACAGCTCTAGCCCAACTAGGCAGTTTGCTAAGAGGAAAGAAAGAAACAAAGAAAAAAGGAAATTAGAGTCTGTTCAGGTTCTCATCTTGCTACCACACCTTTGTGGATAAATTGCTAGAGAAATCAGAGGAATTCCGAGGCGTCTCTTCTCTGCATGGCAAGCCCTTCCCCACCTCTCTGGTCTTTACCATAGTTAATCATTTCCCGTGTATATTCATGTGCTTTCAAAATGTGTAAAGACAGAGCCTGATGGGGGCTCTGCAGGACTGTAGGCCTGCCCTCTTTGATTGGATCTGCAAGATGAGAATTTAGGGGGTGGGGGAGGAGAGGGGCGCCACGTTTGGAGGGTTGGGCCAGCACGGCCTTTGTCTCCTAGGAGTGGAGTCGTGCAAGTGATAGAAAGGGATGTTCAAGCCCAAATATGGGGGTGGGGAGAGGAGGGGACAGAGGCAAATGTTAGAGATGGGCTTCAGGCTAGTAACTCAAAATGAGCCACATTTTGAACACAGACAAAAGCAACAGAGAACAGCAACTTAAAGATATGAAGAGGAACAAAATACAGCTCCTTGATGACTCTAGTGGGTTGAATGTCTCCTCCCCAAAAGATATGTCCCTGTCTTAACCTCCAGAACCTGTGACTACGACCTTATTTGAAAATTGACCTCATTTGCAGATGACATTAAGTCAAGGACCTCAAGATGAAATCATCCTGGACAGAGGTTAGGCCCTAACTCCAATGACTGATATCCTTATAAGAGAAAGGAGAGGGAGATTTGAGACTCAGAGCACACGGAGGGGAAGGCCTTGCAAAGACGGGGGCAGAGGTGGGAGTGTGGCATCTCTAAGCCAAGGAACACCAAGGATTGCCGCAGCTGCCGGAGTCTGGGATGGAGGCACAGAACAGACTCACCCTCAGAGCCCCAGAAGGAACCAACACCGCCAGCACCTTGATTTCAGACTTCTGGCTTCCAGAACTGCGAGGGGATAAATTCCTGTTGTTTTAAGCCACCAAGCTTGCGGCAATTTGTTGCAGTAGCCTTAGGAAACCAATCAATGACAGAGCCATTCCTCTGGAGCAAGGGTCTGTGCAGCCATTGGCAAAAAACAAATTCTCAAATGGCACAGGTCCCAGGGTCGTTTGTAAACCAAACACTAATGGAGTTTTGTTTTCCTTCAGAGGCAAACCCTGTAGCAGAGTGTAGGCCCAGAGAATTCCTTGCATATTGTATTTAAATATATAATATTATCTATTTCTTCAAATATCTTCCATGATTTTCTCCTGATAGATATATCGTGATATATATACCCTTTCTCTTATAAGATACTGGTCATTGGAATTTGGGCCTACACCCAATCCAGGGTGATTTCATCTTGAGATCCTTAAAATAAATTTATAACATGATTTTATTTCTCCCAAGAACTATAACCAGGTGTTTTCTGTCTTTCCAGAGCTGCCATTTTGCTTCTTTTCTATTCTGGTGCCTACTGCTAAGCATCTGGGACGTAAATGTCTAGCATCAGACCCAGGGAGATGACGTCGACTGTCAGCTCCTCAGGGCTGCATGTTGGCAAAAAAAGAGCATCGAGAAGCAGTTTCGAATTCCAAGCTGATATAGCTAGGAAAGGGGAGATGTCAAGCTCTCAGAACCCCAAATCCCAAACACCTCTTGCATGTGGAATTCACATGACAACCAGAGCGAGTAAGATCCTGTGTACCTTGTATGTCATCTCAAATTGTTTCTCTTATTTCTGACAGTATCCAGGCCTGGCTTTGGAAAAGACAAATATGTATTTTCAAAGGCTGACCGGACCTAACCCAAAGCACCGGGCTGTTCATCAGAGTTAAAACGAATGGGGAAATCAAAGCCCCCACAAAGCTGGTGAGTGTCAGAGAAGGCCACGATTCTCAGGTGGGCTGTGAGGGATGGTGGAAGCAGCTTCTCATTCACCTAGCAATTCCTCTTGCTGCTCCCCTGCAGAATCTTTCACTCCTATAAAATCATCTCTGCAGTAACTGCTCATTTACCTTACATTCACACTGCTCAAAAGGCTGGGGCTGCTCCCAGACAGGGGTTTTTATAGCTTTTTCTGACGATTTTATTCTATCAGTCACTGAAGTTGGAGTGCAAAGGAGGTTGTTGTTGAAAGCAGGAAGATCGCACTGGCTTGCTCGCTGGAAATGGTCACTAGGAAAACTTACCCTGGGTTCCTTCTTCTGTGTCCCCACACCCCAGAGCAATATGCCAATGCATAGTGTAGGAAGATGTGCACTTTAGTCACAAGCAAGTGGTTTTCTTATGCTTTTAATGGACTAAAATGGGGTTGGAGAATCTCCCCAACGTAAGCAAGGCATTGTTGAGCTCAAACAAAGTGCACGTTTCCCTACAGCATTACAGCCGTGCTCCACCGTCCTCTTGTGGGAAGGGAGGGGTTCCATCTATACTGCACACCTCCTCAAATTCACTGGGCTCCTCCTATGGAGCACTCTGGGACCCAAGTTCCCCCCTCAACCCATAATTTATTCTCTAAAGCATTTAAAAAGCCTCCCAGCAGAGCCACATTCCTAAGCAACAATCATTTTCTGGGAGGAAGATGAAAAACCCTGGCAGTTTTCCATTCATGTTGAGACTTTTCCTATTTGTATATAAATAGTCAGGACTCCAGTTTCTAGAATCTTTATTTTCACTGTTTCATCCACTAACGCACACAGGATGGGCAGCACTATAATCAATTACCTTTTCCAATAAGATGCCCTAAAAATTAACACAGTCATTTAGCCGAGATGGCTCATACGATTTTATGTGACTCTTCTAATTAGTCTAGGAAGGAGGCCCTTCTGCTTTAAGTCATTTACTGGTCCAGGCGCAGGAGACGTTTGCAGCAAGTTCCATGATATGCTATTTAAATATTTTGAAGCCCACTAATAGACCTTCTCCCCAATTTACCTCAGAGCACATCATTATTGGAATTGTTTTTGTCTGAGAAAGTAAAATTTATTTTTCCCTGCAGCAGTGATTTATCAGGGCTTGCAAAGGAAAATGGAATTAAATTAGTCCCCACTGCTGCTGTCACTTTCATGATGTATACTGTCACCCAGCCTACAATTCTAAGAAAATGTCTGTCGCTCAAACTCACTACCAGGTGTCAAACAAGAGCCTTTCTTCCAGAGAGGTGGCAAGTGTGAACCAAGCCTTTTGTCCATGGGCCAGGATCAAACCTCCCAACGGCCCATCTTGCTAAGGCTCAAGCTTTAGAGACAAGAAAAAAGAGGGATAAAACTCTAAAGCCTTTCTAGAATCCAAAAATGTGCTGATGTGGAATGATACCACACCTGCATCATGTTCCCCCAGATGCCTCTGTAACGACTCCCAAAGGTAGACTTTGTAAAATGTTTGATTTTTTTACTTGTAAGCTTTGGTATGAAACACAGTCACGCATTGCTTAATGACAGGATCCATTCTGAGACATGCGTCATTAGGTGATTTCGTCATTGCATGAACACCACAGAGTGTACTTACAAAAACGTAGATGGTGTAGCCTACTACACACCGAGGCTGTATGGTATGGTCTACTGCTCCTATATGAGCAACGTGTTGCACTATGTTGCAATGGCTATGATGTCACTACTTGTAAGCTTTGGTATGAAACACAGTCATGCATTGCTTAATGACAGGATCCATTCTGAGACATGCGTCATTAGGTGATTTCGTCATTGCATGAACATCACAGTGTACTTACAAAAACGTAGATGGTGTAGCCTACTACACACCTAGGCTGTATGATATGGTCTACTGCTCCTATATGAGCAACGTGTTGCACTATGTTGCAATGGCTATGATGTCACTAGTTGATACAAATTTTTCAGCTCCATTATAATTTTGTGGGACCACAGTTGTATATGTGGAGTGTCATTGACCGAAATGTCGTTACGTGGTGCATGACCGTAGGACATATCCATGACACAGCCAGGTGGCCAACCCGTCTGGGTATACCTCAGGCTTTCCTGATTTTAGCACCAAAAGTCCCACATGCCGGGAAATTCCTTAGTCCCAGGCAAACTGGGATGGTTGGTCACCCTAGAGTAGTGGTTCTCAATAGAAAGAGATTGTGCCTCCCAGGAGACATTTGGCAATGTCTGGAAACACTTTTGGTTGTGTCATCTGGGCTGGGATGAGGTCTGGGGGCTGCAACTGGTGTCCAGTGGGCAGAGGTTAGATCCTGCTGAACATCCTACAATGCAAAGGACAGCCTCCCACGACAAATAATTATCTAGTCCAAATTGTCAACAGTAACAAGGCTGAGAAATGTGGCAGATTGTCTCTAATCTCTTATATTCCCCGAGGTTCCTTAAATCACCACTGACCTGATAAGAAGGTAATCTGCACTGGTCTCAGGTTAAGGATGTTTACCTACTCATAAAGAGCTTCCTGAACTGGAACCTGAACGTTCCCTGCATTACAAGCTTCTGGCACTTTACAATCCAAATGATCATAAAATTCCTCCTGGTATCTAATCTTACATTGCAATTTATGCTCATTTGAGATTTGCTCCAAGAATATCCTTAGGACAAGTGTAGTCTAAATGGAGTCTCATTTTGTTTTCTCAACAGGGGTCAAAATGATGAGAGTCAAAACTGGAAATTTTGGACTTAAACGTTCTCCAACAGAAAAGATAGTCATGGGATCATCTCCTGAACAGCACACCTAAAACCTGTCACTTTCTGCACTGAGATTATGCTCAGATAACTGCAGTTCATTTTAAATAGGACTCTGCTACCTTCATATCCTCATTTCCCACTAGTCCAGGAGGAATACTCTGACTTTTCCTTTCCTCTTTGCACCAAAGCCTGGCATTTGGCAATTATTCGATAGTAATCGATTGCTTCAATCCAGTTCTTCATATGTTTTTTTTTGGGGGGGGGTGCTGGCTGATACAGGGAGCCGAACCCTTGACCTTGGTGTTACATCCCCATGCTCTAACCAACAGAGCTAACCAGCTAGTCCTACATACAGTGTTTTCTGAGGTCT